CTCATAGTTCGACCCGTTTTTCCAAGGCATACGGGGGTGGTCAAAAAAGAGACACTTCACTTTGCATTTTAAACAGTACTAATCACACTTTGCTAGTCTCAAATCGACTGTCTGCAACATGATATCAAAAGCACATCCCAATCTATCAATAGTCGTCATAGTAGCTTTCTGCACCAACATCATCATAAGAATTGTCATGGAAACCTTATGCACGGTGCGAGCTCAACGTGGTCCTCAACGGATCGTGGACCATTACGACATTATTTGAGTCGAAAGGGGTCTCGCATGTTCAGAGCTACTGTCCCTAAAAGCGATTCACCAGTGACCCTATTCAAGAAATTTCGTAGAAGCTTCAGGCTGGAACGATTACGGGCTATACCTCTCGAATGAACGGTAATTGAAAATGACGTCATATTTTGAGGACAGTGAGAGCAGTGAAGGACGGCCTGTTTCTACCTATGAGGAGACATCCAAGGGATATTTTGCCGTAAAACTTCCATCAACAGCGGTACCCTGTGCTACGAAAAGTATGATGAAGTGTGCCCTGGGCAAAGTGTTTTTTATTGACCAACACCGTATACTATTGGGAATGCGGCATAGTGTGTGCCAGCAAACATCGGTACTTTATACTTTTTTCGCGCTTAGTAGACAGATCGCGTGAAACGTTTAAAGGACGTAGAGAAGAAGCATTCAATCTTTCAGCTCGAATCACGGCTCTTTAATCCTGTGAGAGTCGTGCATAGCGAAGTACCCACAACTGATCGCCTGTCAAAGATATACAACATTTCCCACTAGAATAAGATACGATTCCGAGATGTTTGCTTGATCACTGGAAAATATGAGTCCGATGGGTGCTTGAACTAGAAACCACTGGAGTGTGACAGATCATCACAAACGCCGCACTCTGTGAAAGCTGTGTGGACTCCGCGCCAAGCTTTGCACGGCCTTTAAACCTGTAGTACTGCGAAACCTAAGCACACAACACCTTCAGGAAAGCTACCCTAGGATGCAGCGTGGCTCGAGATAGTAAGACAATGAGATTTTCTCAAAATCTGCAAATGGTTGTAGGGGCTATACATATTTGCTGGTACAGGATGGGAGCATGTCTATGGTGAAAAGCTACAGATAAGGCTGACAAAAGCATAAGAATATCCTCCAACTCGTTAGCTTGTGCCATTCGCGGTGCTGCTTTCAAACTAGAAAATGGTGAATGTGATTATTTTTTGATATTAATGATAGGTCAAATGAATTAGAGACCAATAGAACGAGCTGATAAGGTGCTTCATAAGGGGTGGTTGATGGATTACATTTTCAATAGGCAGGAACGCGGTTACGGGTTTGAGTAGGTAACATTTATTTTAAGAGCCCAAGACTCCGTAGAGAGAAGGTAACAAAATACATCACATCATACTCAACTGCAAGACGGCTAACATGGCCCGAGCAGTATTAGATGATCCTCCTATTGTATAAACGAGGTACGTATTTAGCTTAATGAGGCACCTACTTTGGCCCGCCCCGGAATAGCTTCGGCTAGTTGCGTTGGCCAGGCTGACCCTACTCTGCTTAGTTCTTCTTTTTTCTGGAATAGGCGCCGGCACTGCTGTGCCTTGTCGTGAGGGTGTTCGAAGTCTCAAATGTCCTTATCCTTCTTTGCTTTGAAGGTGATTTTTTTGTTTTGGGGTTTCTGGCGGTCCACTCATCAGCTTTATCGACACGATGGGTGGCCCTTGGTTCTCCAGCGGTTTCTTTCTGTCTTTATGGTTTTTATCCATAGTCTCTGCTCTTCGGTGCTTCATGAGAGTCGGGCTGTTCCTACTTTGTTCAGCTAATTCTTCCCTTTGCCCTGCTCAATATTATTTACTGGTCATCCCACGAGTGCTTATGTTCAGGGTGTACTGTTTTTTTGTTGTTGTTCTAGTTATCCTGACACGGTTCGGTTTGTTTTTCTGGTTGTTGCCGATGGTGCGCCTCGAGTGCATATTAAATAAATAAATAAATAAATAAAATAAATAAATAAATAAATTAAATGTAACCTCTCCTCCAAAAAGCGTGAAAGTGTCGGCTGCGGACCAAGCACACAACTGACTGGTTAGAAGTTTGCTCATAGTGATAGCTGATTTCTGGTAAATGATAGTTGTAATTAGTGACAATCGATAGAATACAACTGCAACAGGCTAATCATTTCATTGGCAGAAAACATTAACATTTTTGTGAAGGCCGTCGTCACTTGTGGTGCATGGTCTGCACCCGACACTTTCTCGCTTTTGAAAGGGAGGGTTTTCGTACATTGATTATGTATGTCTGCGTCAAATGAAACGATAATGAAGCCGTCGAAATAAACAAATCGCCAACATAGTCGGGAAGCTCGCACGACTTCATCTATCAATCTTTTGCAACTGGATGATTGTGAACTACTGTAACGACTATATAAACACTCCCGCGCGCACACGCGTCATTCCATATGATTGTGTAGTAGCTGGAATGCCACGAATTTCTGATAGGCACTGGTGCGCCACGCACTGTGGGCTCTTCTACGGTTCGCCATTGTCAGTACGTCGAGGGAGGGAGTTGCAGATGGATACTTCATGAAGCTTTGAGCCAATGGATATTATGTGACGTCGGGTACAAGTCACTTGGACAGAAAGCGATTTCCTCGCAATTTGCAGCGCGGAACATTTTTCGCTGCAGGAACCTCAGGTCCACCATGATCAGCGGTGGACCTGGTTCCCGCAGCGAAAAATGTTTCGCGCTGCGAAACGCGAAAAAGTCGCTTTCTGTCCTAGTGAACCACACCCTGTAACATCTTCGTCGAACCGCCACATTTCACTTGGTCTGTCTGGCTTTTCGAGGATCGATTTCAGCAGTTGCTAGAGATCTACATCATTGACAGATGACGGGAAAACAGGCAAGAAGAAGTTATTCTTATTTCGTTATAGTAAAGTATTACAAGCTTAGATCATGAATTAATAAATTACAATTCTCAAGTAATTTCACCGTAATTATTGTAGTTATGTATAGTCACACGACATCCTATAATAAAGTATTAACTATAAATCGCGAATCACATGTAATTCAAATCCTGCAACTCTAGCCCTAACACAATGCTAAAACTCGTACTCGAATATGTAATACATGTTTGAGTTGAAGTGAGGTACACGAAACTAGCACTATTTCTACTTGTACTCTTCCATGAACTTCGTATGGAAGGACTTAAATCGATCCAACATTTCTTTCATTAAAGCCGTCTGTGGAAGAATTGTCGTTCTAAAATAGAATAATTTAAAAGAATGAAAACATCAAAATCGGAAAAAGCGAAGGAACACATAGAAGGCAGCTTGACGCGGCATGCGCGTCTGACCCTTAGGATGCAAAGGACACTCTGACGCGCATGCGCATCAGGACTTTCCCACCCAATTGTTTCGCACTTCTTGCCGAATTTTTTATTTTATACGAAAAACATTAACATAACTGTGACAAAACACATGGCCGCCAGAATGGTCAAATATGCTTTGATTTAGTAAAGATTTTGTTCTGCAGAATTTCATAATTTCCTTTTGATGCCATATGCGTACATAGATTTAGCAGAAATCAAAAATTCCATTAGGTTTCATGGAATAACCGAGGTGAAGATACTTTTCACGTCGATCAGAATTGATAGTTTTCATTTCCATTTTCATTATGCGATCCTTTGGACAAAATTCTACTGGTAATTATCTATCCAACCTTAACGCTCCCATCATAGCTGGAATGACCTTGTGCTGTTGAGGTTTTTGGGCATTTAACATCCAAAATAAGCCTATGTAAGATGAAGCGCGCTTGCAGAATTACTCCCGTCCCACACCGCCACAATAGTCAGAACACGCAATGTAGTCAACATTTTAAATCAGAACGGTTGCACTACTCACCGGAAGTGATATGTTCCTTCCTTCTGGCCGAAACCACTACCTGGCACGATGCAAACACCAGTCGCCTCTAACAACTGCATGCATAGAAGAAATCGGGTTCCATGTTCAGAGACTAAATAAAAAAATAACTCACAGAAATAAGATAATGTCCCGAAATCAGAACTAAAAGTCTCAACATAAACATCTCGTTATTCCCTGAAATCTGATTTTGAAACAAGCTGTGTGATAGCGACTTCAAGACGGAAGAGCATAAAAACCTGACCCAGGTTCAAAATATGCATTACTCGCATGAGAGAATTGAAACGTTGGCATGTATGTCACCTGGCTCCCGTGAGTTGATGCATAGAATCAGAAGAGTGCAAAGGAGTTCTTATTCAGGGCTCTCTATTTGAAGTTCAGAACCAAATCGCCTAGAATATCTGTGACAAATTAAAGGGAACGCTAACATGATGGAAATAGCCGTCCACGATGGTCTAAACGCTATGGACTCGCTTATGATCTGGAAGAGCTGGCGGAAATGATGGCGTTAACTTGAACTGAATCGCACAAAGACTGGCAACCGAGTTGTGCAACAATGGGAAAAGCTTCAAACAAACAACAGCTTCGAAGTTAGCGACTTATAACGAACAGACTTTCACCAAAAACATCGTGGAGGAAAAGATGACGAGATGAAGATTTGATGACGAAACGAAAGCTGAAGAAATTGAAGGTGCGGAGGCCCTATTTGTTAGAACGACAGCCACACGGAAGCCGTCTACAGCTAGTGCACCCTAGAAAGGCTAACGACGGGACTAGTTTATGCCGAAGACGCTCTTCCCAGAACTCATGGTTTGAAGTGGAGGGTCCACTCCACCAACATAGCTCCGTTTCGATCGATGGGCAACTCCGAATTAATGCTCAACTCTACCATGACGAATTTTGTAATTGATGAGCATTTTGAAAGGCATTACTGCGAGATTGTATGCATGCAGACCGCTCTTGGGTGAACATCCACCCAAAGGACTGGGCTATGCACACTCTGAAGCCCGCCTCTGCCAATCCGCTTTGAAATTATGGTCACACAGTTCTCACAGAATAGTCTATCGTATTCGCTAACAAAAATTTATCACTTTTACTGCAAAGCCGCAAAGAATAGCTATCTATGCTAAAATGCGATCTCGATAATAACTTACCCTAGCCTTTTCTATCGCACGTGGAGGTAACAATAGTTGTGGGAACGCATACATTGCTCCCTGGACCTCATTGCAAAGAATTCCGTCAATGCTTCCGTAAGCCTGTTTCACCAAAGTAGCTCTTTCCTTGAGTGAATTGAGAACTGCGGTTTTTTCCTAAGAAAAAAATATTGCGCGAGTAGAGCTAAGGTGTTGGCAGCTCTCACAAACCTTCAACCATAAATCATATGATGGCTCTCCTGGTTTTGGTGGATTAACTAGGGCATCCATCATGACCTAGAAAACAAAATTTGTATATCTGCGTCCTCTATTCAACAATTAAGCGAAAAAGCATTGTCTGGCAGAAACTCACTTGCCCAAGAATAGCTGAACACAACTTCGCGGATATCATCTTTTTGAATAGCACGTACACTTCAGGATCTAGATTGAAAAACTCTACGTAACCGCCTCGCATTCCGCATTCACCCATATAACCCTTTGATACCGAGTGGAACGATGCCAATTCCATCCTGAAATTCTACTTTAGGATTGCTAGGAATGAGAGAGCAGTTGTAATTGCTTGAATTAAAAATTTAGAATAAGCAATTTCGAATCCGAAGCAATCTTATAATTTATTTACCATTTCCTTATTATTTATTTATGACGCTACATAAGGCATACGCAAGAAAGAAACAATTATTCTTCCTTATGATCCTCTACCAAAAGCTACCTGTCGAAGATGGCTCAACTAATGAAATTTGTTTTGATAAAACATTTATGTCCAATAAAGCAGTCGACTGGGAACTCCATATCAATGATAGGCTTGTCCACGAAAATAGGTTGTGTCCACGTTTTCTTCCAAACTTTTACCCTTTGCAAAGCCGTTTTGCCATATTTGAGCGAGCGCTTCCCTGCGGAAAGACGACTTTCTACTAAAAACGAAGACCTACCCAGTCGCACTAACATAGATGCGGACTTCACGATGCAATCGAGAGTAGGCGGGGCGCGATGTTGGCGTGGGCCGCGATGTTGGCGTGGGCCGCAATCGCGACAGGAGCGTGGCGCAGGAGTGAACGGAATTCCCACCAATAATGCTTCTTTTCAATCAAATCAGAAGGCATAGAGCGTAAGTTGCTACCGAACAGTAATAGATGCACTAACATAAGCGAAATGCAGACAAATCTAGACAAGTGACTGGCTGTAACCAAAGGGGTAGGAATTTCAAGACCCATCTTCATGGCTAGAAGATTCATCTGCTTCGTTCTCGTCAATGTTCGAGTACCGAAATCCAGCAACAGTGACAGCGCTGGCGCCAGCCCGCAATGTATTGTCGGTCGTTGCTCCATTAGCTATAGCGACACCCCGTTCCTAAGGGACATCTTGGCCTAATCTTATAATTCCCAGGCTCCACCAAGATTCCCACATGATTCTTCCGTACTATCGAATTTCGTGACAGGCAGGAAGATTAGCAGGAACATTTTCACATTGTAAAATAGGAATAATCAAAAGCCCTTCGATTAAACAAAGTGAAGTCACGATATGGGTGTATATAATACAAAAAGCTCAAATAGCACAGATGAGAACGTACTTGTTGTACGGTGCACCCATTTCGTTGATAACTTTCTTGAACGAATAGAATTTCGATCCTGGTGCGTAAACGTTATCCTAAACACGACATTGTATGACCACTGAACGATCAATGGACGTTATGGGCATACCTGATACACTTCGTCAGCCATAAGGAAAAGGTTATGTCGGTGAGCAAACTTGATGATAGTTTCAATATTTTCACGTGATAGCACCTGCACAATGTTCAATATATTAGCTGCGCATCTGCTGCATAACACATTCCTTTTTCATCACTACAGCAACAATGTATAAAAATCTGCAACACTTAATACAAGGAAAACCTTGCCTGTCCGGTAGGGTTTCCAGGGTTAATAACGCATAAAACACGAGTATCATACTTCTTGAGGCTTTCTTGATAAGATCGTTCCAACTCGCTCTCCTCCAGGCTCCAGTTCGTCTCTTCGTGCAAAAAGTACCCTACCTGGCAAATAACGACACGTAGAAGACAAGCAATCGTAAAGTGTGTCCAAAATCAAACATGCTAGTTGATCGAAAAAAAAACCAGGTCTCCAACTTCATTCAAACTTGTTAAACAAGACCTCTTTCATTGGCTCCCCACGAATCTACAAAAAACCAGGCCATGTAAAGAATTGGGATAGAAAACCGCAGTTCCCCTACCGTTCCCCTTACCCTACCCCTACTAAATTGATGTACGAAAGGAAAAAAGAAGTAATGTCACTGTGAATATGACGTACCTGCCCGAGGCCAAACTCCTCGACCGTTGCAGAATAGAGGGGATATTGCGGTATGGGGATCATTATTCCGGTTTGTTTCTGCGCCCCACGTCGGATAAACATTTTGAGAACGTTACGAATAGCTTCAGAAGCGCCACCGGAGAGAATCACATTTTCATAGTCACACGGGACACCGTCACGTTTCTGAAACAATCAATATACACTGGACATTATTGAAAGCTCCAAGCTTTTGAAGCAATAAGACCTACCGAGATAAATTCGGCTACATGCTTTCGGATAATGTCAATTCCTGTGCTCTGGCTGTAAGCGCCGCAGCTGTTACCTCCGCAACCGCAAAGGATAGCCTAAATAAAGTAAATTAATACTGCTGTCACAAGTTTACTACAAGCTTAATTAAAGTTATGTAATCAGCAGTAGAATACCTTACCTTAGCATGCTCAATCACATCAGAAGGAAAGTTTGCTGTCTCCATCAATGACGGATTTGCAAGGCAAGCTACCAACTGGAATAATGCTATGATTTGAAAAATTCATATCACTCTTTGCTTCTTTATAAACAAGTTTACCCGTATACCCCCATAATTTGACATACGTGAAGCTCCGCGCACAAAAAGCGCCGAGTTTCACACATGTCAAACGCATGGGAGTATATCTGTGCTGATGTTCAGCACAGTCTTCAAATGACATTACCGAAGTGAGCAAACCTTTGTAAACAATTAAACAACCTGGAACGATGATCCTCCATGACTTCCAACCGACACGGAAATCTCCAATTCACTCAACCGAGTGTGACTTTTTGTTTTACTTATAGTGATTCTAACATCCTTCCCCTTCAAATGTACCTGCTTGATATAAAATATTTGTACTCAGCGTGCTTCATCGAAATCGTGGTTTCAGAATCAACATGATGCCGCACAAGACTTAGTGAGCGCTAAAAATTATCTACACGGTGACGTAATTATAACCGGTTCATTGTGGCGTCTAACTACTCGCGGTTCTATTCGTGATCAAAACTTGCTGGTGAAATCGCCATATTTTACAAGAATGAGAAGCTCTAGTCAACGAAAGGCTCTAATTTTAATCTTTGGCATCTCTGATACTATAAGATTGGGCACTAAGCGGGATCTAACTCCGCCAGGAACTGCGCCAGCGTGACCACCACCAAAACTCTAAAGAGAAAAGACGGTGGAAAAGGAGTAGAGACATTATAAAAAGAGCCTCAGCAGAGTCAAAAACTGCGGCAGAAAATGCTTTGATCACGAGATATCAATATACATAGCAGCGGACTGTGTGACAACGCAGGAATACCGTTGGGGAACAGAGGAACACTGGGATTAGAACCACAGTATCGGAAATAACCCAGTATTTCCTAACAACTTTCACTCAAGGAGAGTACCTTGCGATACCTGGTGCTAATTTAATCAAGTAATGATGTAACAAAGCTCACCTGTCTATTGAAAGTAATCGGAGACTGGCCCATTGCATGCGCGTCACCAATGTTGGCCTTGATCACATTTTTGAATGGTTTTTTAGCTCCCTGCAAGTAAAAATGAGATCCAGGTATTAGCGCAAACAGGACAACACCAACCTGTTCCAACTCCTTTTCGAGTTCAACTGCTCTGATTACAATCGGTCCACGAACAGCATATTGCATGGTGACCACTTGAGGGTTAATGTTATCTCGAATTAATACCTTAAAACAACATTTTTTTTACAATTGTCAATGATCAAATAATGATTGCAGTCTTCAAATCCATACCCCAAATCAGAACAAAAACAAAAAATTGAATTCACCTAGCCACTCATAAGCAGATTGGCCTGAGGCAAATTGATGGCACTAGTTGAACATTGTTCTGGTAAATAGTTTTCTAACCCACAGTGTGCTTGTTTTATCTAAGAATAAGCACAAAAGGCAGGTAAAGCTACCTAATATGCAAGCAGTTTTGGCTGTGACATCGACATTACCCAAGTCCCTCCCACTTCTGCGGCGCGGCGCCGCACTGGTATTGCATCAGTTGGAGGTTTCACTGCGACCTGTTTGCCAATTTCGGCGATTTGTTCATTTTGCACATCTTTATGTTGTTCTTCAAGAAATTTCATGCAATTCATTCATTTTCATTCAATACTTAACACTTTATCTGAGATCTTCTTATCCACCAATAGCTACTAACTCAACTGCCTTATATTGTTCTTCGATGTCACTAAAAAAAGCGCACAGATTTAACAACTATGAAGAATTGGGGCCAACCGTGCATAAAGCCGATTTTAACATCTTTGCAACTCCTCTTCAGGAAATCTCAATGAGACTCTCTTGTATCGTCTTTGTTTGTAACTTTGTATGAATTTATGGCGTTGTGTTCAAGAAGTGGTTTTTTCAAGCTATGCCCACGAGGTCTACGGACAACTTGAACCCAGTCCTTAAACCGCCTCAGATGATGCTCTCGCCTGCGCTCTCTCGCCTAAACAGCGGCTTATGATTACTGTGATCTGATACATTCAAACTTTGCCACTGCTTGATTGGACTCACCCACTCCGGAGTCCCTTCCTCCAAGGCTTAGTCCTGAATCTCAGCTTCCTGCTTGAGATTTGGAGCCGAGCCAGGCGCTGTTCTCTAGTCATCAGTCTCTGGCCTTTCGCGGCAGAAAACATAGGGGGAGGGTTCAAGTAGTCACGTATCTGCCTGCGCGCTTGGCGTTGGAGCGCGCTATCTCTCGTACTCAGCAAAAAAGAATGGGTCACGAACTTTTACTTTTTTAGACGAGCGCAACTTCCTTCGAATTGGCATCCCACAATAACTCATGCAACTATGAAATTGTTGTTTAGTTATAGTTTTAGAAAACTGCCAATAAACTCATTTGGTTATGGATTGAGCGAGTAAATGTTCAATAAAAAGACGAAGTTTTTCTTCAAATGATCCCGCCCTTAAGCATGGACTTGCGCTAAGAAATAAGAACTTAAAGAAACGAATTACTTTCTTTCAACTTGATTACTTCGTGATGCAAGGAAATGAATGCAACGCGTATGAAATGAGAAATGACACCGAAATGAAATGCGTTATCTCAAATCTGGTTTCGAGTGATCTCTACGTTCGTACGCATATCGTTGTTATCAGTCCTTATCAGTCGTTATCACTTTCTGACCCCCACCAAATATGTTCCCGTCCCACCCCTATATCATGTCAAAACCAACGCCTGACGACTGCTGGAGCGCACTATGAATTTCGTGAAATTTGCGTTTCAGCGCCTCTTATCAGCTCTTATCAGTCGTTATCACTTTTTAACCCCACCAAATATGTTCCCGTCCCACCCCCTACATCATACTCAAAATACAGCGTTCCATGCCTGCAGCGAAGCGCGCTATGAATTTCGTGACAAACGGACGTACACACACACACACACAGACATACTTAGCGAATTATATATAGTAGGATATGTTTGCTTCTGCTTACTGGGATACGATGCACAGCGCTGTGATTACTCCTACTCTAGGACGCGCCGTGCACTCGTCTGTGGTTGGAAGTAGCAAACACATTTGAAACGTATTTTCTTTTGCCATGCCCTTGGGACATTCAATTCTGTTGCAGGTCCTTGTGCTTAAGACTTCATCCCACCTCAATAGGCCGGATAAAACCAAACGTTGGAGTTTTCAAGGAACTGTTGATTCGTGAGAAACAACTTTTTCCCACCCATATAGAACAGAGTCTGTAGTGACCAAAGCTGACGGGATGTGCCTCATTTAAGTTAGAAAAAAATTGAAAAAGAATGTGGTTTCAGCATCTCCAATGCAATACTATATCACTAAAGACCAGTTTCATTCCTTACCTTAGTAGAAGCCATTCTTAAGTTGTCGAGAAGTTGGGTGGAACTTCGCAAGAAACGACACGCGGCGATCCTCATACTGAAACAGTCATTCATAGTGAAAAGCAAAATAGTACGACATGAGTGAAAAAATACAATTTCCTAGATTTTGGGCTTGCCCTTACCAGGAAAGGCATTCAACTTCCCATGGAACTTTGAGATGAGACCCAGATATATCGATAGAGCTTCAAACGCTGATTACAAATATGGAAACTAAAACTGCAAAATGAACCTGCCAAGGAAGTTGTGAGCAGTCAAAGTTGGCTGGAAGTAAAGCATTACACTAGCCTCCGGGCTTTCAAAGTCGCCGTGGAGTAGTGGTAGTGCTCTCGGAATTTGCGCTCCGACGGGAGGAGAGCTTATGACCTCCAGAGTGAATAGCGAGGGCACCAGAAAGGCCGGAGGCTAGTGTAATGCTTTACTTCAGCCAACTTTGACTGCTCACAACTTCCTTGGCAGGTTCATTTTGCAGTTTTAGTTTCCATATTTGTAATCAGCGTTTGAAGCTCTATCGATATATCTGGGTCTCATCTCAAAGTTCCATGGGAAGTTGAATGCCTTTCCTGGTAAGGGGTATCGTTTTTCTAGGGTAATGAAGGCGGAGCTTTTTCCGCGTAAGATTCCT